CCTCTGCACTCGGCACCTAACCCGCCTTGGAAATCCCCTCTGCACTCCGCACCTAACCCGCCTTGGAAATCCCCTCTGCACTCGGCACCTCACCCCATCCTTGGAAGTCCCCTCTGCACTCAGCACTTAGCCCGCTCACTGGAAATCCCACCTATCTACCAATAGCAGCTGACCCTGTCCACATCCTGTTTCTCCAAATCCAATCGAACGCCTTCACTCCCTATAACACCCCACTCCTAAGCAGAGTCAGGCATGACTTCCCTGGCCCCTCTCCCTGGGACCACAGAACTTCGCCGGGGAGCTGAATAAATTGGCATCTAATTTTCTTGTGCTGGCCTCAGTTTCCTCATTTTTAACTTGGCAATAATCCTACAGAGAATAAACTTTAGATATTTGTTTTGCTTAGTTTTGTTTTTAGAGACAGGGCCTCATGCTGTTGCCCAGACTGGAGTGCCCAGTCATGGCTCACTGTAGCCTCGAACTCCTGGGGTCAAGCAATCCTCCTGTCTCAGCCTCCTGAGTAGCTGGGACTACAGATATGTAGTATTATGCACAGCTAATTGAACTTTTTTTTTTTTTTTTTTTGTAGAGAAGGAACCTCTCTATGTCCCCCAGGCTGGTATTGAGCTCCTGGGTTCAACCAATCCTCCCTTCTTAGCCTCCCAAAGTGCTAGGATTGGGCGTGAGCCACTGTGCCCAGCCAGGTGAAAACTCTATGCAACCCGACCTCAAGGGGCGTCTCTAAGACCTGCATGAGAAGTTTCTTGTCGATCTCAACTCCAGCAAATTCTCTGCTTCACCTGTGGAATTATTTTTTCCCTCAGAAATAAAGGAAAATGAGTGACTAACCTTGCTTTGCTTTTTTTTTTTTGCTGCCAGGAGACTCAATGCAAAATTACGATTCGACTATATCAGCAGTGTAGGAAATCATGACTTACCTGTATTCCATTGCCTTCCTCTGCACTCCCCAAGTGGCGTTTTCTCTAATGATCGTGTGTGTGTGTGTGTGTGTGTGTGTGTGTGTGTGTGTGTATCTGTGCACTCTATGCCATTTCATACCTTCCATAACACAATATAAATAAATATGACCCACAGTTTTTGAACTTTCCCCTAAATTCCCATTCTTCCTCCCTAATGTATACTCCCTTAGTGTGTCTTGCTATAACATTTGAAGGTTGTATTTCTTTTTTCTGTGCTCAGGGTAAATACGTGGTCTGTTTTGATCCCCTTGATGGATCTTCCAACATCGATTGCCTTGTGTCCATTGGAACCATTTTTGGCATCTATAGAAAGGTAAGATGTGATATCCCAAACACTTGGTTTGGGGCCGAAAGTTAAGATTGAGCATCCAGTCCTATTTCACTGCGGCAGAGCAGACAGAGTGGAGATCATGGAACTCTGTGAGGCTTAAGTAGATCAGTGTCTCAAGTTCTAAGCTTCAGCACTGATCGCACGACGAAGACCCATTAGGTTGTTGAAAGAGAATATAGGATAAAATATGTGTGGGAAGAGAAGGATATTTCACTCTTCTAACTATATCTAACCTTTTACGATAGAAAATGAGATTTTTGCCGGGCGCGGTGGCTCACGCCTGTTATCCCAGCACTTTGGGAGGCCGAGGCGGGTGGATCACGAGGTCAAGAGATCGAGACCATCCTGGTCAACATGGTGAAACCCCGTCTCTACTAAAAATACAAAACATTAGCTGGGCGTGGTGGCACGTGCCTGTAATCCCAGCTACTCAGGAGGCTGAGGCAGGAGAATTGCCTGAACCTGGGAGGCGGAGGTTGCGGTGAGCCGAGATCGCGCCATTGCACTCCAGCCTGGGTAACGAGCGAAACTCCGTCTCCAAAAAAAAAAGAAAATGAGATTTTGAAAAAGGAGGCAGTATGGGGTCAGTATAGTAATGATACGACGTGAACTGAAAGTTGGCAGTATATGACAACAATAGAGATTATTACATCAAAAGTGTCCTTTAAGTCCCCCAATGAATGGTCATCAGCTATGAGCCCTGGGCCGAGTCCAGCCTGTGGCCTCATGTGTACAGCCTGTGATGTGAACAAAGGATAACCATTTTGCGTTTTTAAACAGTTGGAAAAAACCCTAAAGAACAATGTTTCATAATCCATTTTAAATTTTACTCTTCATGAATGAAGCTTTAATGGGCACATGGTCACATAGTCACACTCATTTGTTTGCATACTGCCTTTGGCTGATTTTCCGCTACACTGCCAAAGTTGTGCAGTTAACGATAGAGAGTGGCGCATAAAACTTAAGATGTTTACTAACTGTCTATCCGTAGAAAGTTTCTGAGCCTTGCTCTAAGTCGTAGAAAGCACACTGTACAGAATGAGAGCTGAACCCTGCCGAGAGAGAGAGAGAGAGAGAGAGAGAGAGAGAGAGAGA